TTATATTATATTATATATTAATTGAGCTGTTGTTTTCTAAATGAAAACATAAATTTCAGGTCCTGTTCCTTTTTGCTTAGCATTAACTGCTATGTGCCAGCTGAGGTATTTTCTTAATCTGTTCTGAACTGTAGAAATCCTATTGCACTTCAGAACTTGGTCTATATATCACAAGGTATTAAAAGCAATATAAGTATAAATGGCAGTCTTACTTTTCAACTTTGTCTTTTATTTTTGGCAAGATATAGAGGGAACCATAAAATCTAGATTGTGCGTATTGCTCATTGCCAGCATCAGTGTCTCTTCAAATACAACTTTATCATGGAAAGGAGAATAAATACTGTTTTTGACAATAGGAGAACAGAAGCATCACATGTAAGGATTTTATCTGGAACCACACAGCCATTTGAAGAAAAAGAAATCTTCATCCTCATATTCTGAACTACAATAGGAATATTTGACTTCTGTAACTTGATAAGTATCACACAACTTTATATTTCTTTAAAGCAAATATTTCTTGTCAGAATTTTGCCCTGAGCTTTGTACTATCAGAGATCAGGCACTTTTACTAGCTCTGTGCCCATTCAAAGAGTACCATGTGCAAGTTGATGTTTAGTAGCTGCAGAGAGACAATAAGCAATTTTAGCATGCGTTCTAAAAGCTCTTAAAATTGCCTGCATTGATTCACTATATTTGGAAGAGAAGAAATTTGACTGAAAACTGGACGATGTGCTGTGTGATGTGGTTTAGTGCTTGTGGTGGCAATGGTGATGAGGAGACGGTTGGACTAGATGATCTTATAGGTCTTTTCCAACCCTGTGATTCTATAATTCTATGATTCTATGAAATATTTAGGTATAGGATTCTTGAACATAAGTACTGTAAAAAATATATGTTAATGTTGGTATGTGTTTTCTTAAAAATATAAAGTGTTGTGTTTACAGCAATAGAAACTTTACAAGTTTTCATAAAATGTTTTCATAGCAATTAATTTGCATTTTTTCCCTTTCTCTCTTTTGGAGAGGTCTGTGTGTCAGTTCCTTAGAGATCTCAGGATTATTCCTCTTCAGCTACTTTCAGCTGAAAATAATTTTTTTTACATTTACTATTTTAATACATGATGCAAAATCACTGTTATTCTATTGGATTCTTCACTCAATTTATATTGCATTTTCCTTGTCAAGGTTCAAGTAGATTTAATAAAAATATAAAAAGTAATATCACTGGTGTTGGCCCTCTTGATTAAGTCTCCAGGCTTAGTTTACTTAGCACCATCGTTAATTTCAAAGTGTTATTTTTTCACTGCACACCAAATAAAATTTCACGTTATACTAATAATTACTGTAGAACCCTACCTGAAAATTGACTACATAATATGATACCTTTTTTATTAGACAAGGACTCTGTGTACAGACAATATAAAGATATGGGGTGAACTCTGGAAATCTCATAAGTAGTATGGAGATGGGGAAAGAACTAAATTAGACGTAAGGAAAAGCTAGCCTTCACAGTTTTGTTTAAGCAGTGTAGAAGTTCTGGTTCTTTTACTAAAAGAAGAGCCTAGAAATTGCTTCTCCTAAAGATAAAAGAGTTTAAGGCAGAGTCTGAGGTTCTAGCATTTGCTTGCTTCTTTTTCTGCTTCAGGAGGAAGCAAGTGCTTTGGGGCCAGAACAAGTGCAGTTGCCCATTATAGAAGGTAGCCTACCAGGCACTGAATTTCTCCAGTGCTCCCTGGCCTTATTGGCACATGTTTACACTTCCTTTGAAAATATTTTGACAAGGGCAACCAAAGCATGAGTGGTAGCAAGGCAGAGGCTGAGCAGCATTAAGAGCAATAATGAATAAATACAACCAGAGGAAAATGTCTGGAAGCTACTCTAGGGCTGGTCAGTTACATGGTCAGTGTGGGATCAGCTGTATACTAGTTTAGGGAAGGTACTGTTCTTTTAGCATCCTCCACTGCTCAACTAAATCTACCTTGCAGTGTCTAAGATCCAAGATGTACAGAAGTTTTGAATGCATAATATGTCAGCCTGAATATTCTAAGGTATGTTTGTGTGAATAAATCTGTACAGAAGTGTCTGCTACCCAGCAGTCATATTCTAATTTCTAGTTGTTGAAACAATAAAGGGAGAACAAGGGAGCCAGCTCAGAAGTGTCACAGAGCCTCCCCATGAGACTTCTAATAAAGCTGTTCTGACATTTACAAGTGGATCTTCAAATATGAGAAAACTGGAGTTCTTATATCAGTCCAAAGCAAAATAAACATAAAATTGTCAAGCCTTCAGAATGAAACTTCCATAGCATGTACTGCTTTCACCAAGGAAAACAATCCCTAAGGACAAAGGAGCTCTGTCACCAGAAGCATAGAAGAAAAATATTCAATATCTGTTTTATATTGGACAAAATAATACTGCCACAGTATCCAGGATAAGCACCTGTCTGTCAAATATCAGAGTAGGGAACCCATTAAAGATGTAAATTGATAGTGACTGTCAGCCTTGGAAATCTGATATACAGCTTCCATTCTTCTCCTCACCAAGATAAACTAGGAGAAACTGAGTCCTGCTCCTTTCTGTTTGGCAAGAGGCCAGTAGCTGTGACGCTCCAGCTACGTTTGTGTAGCACACCAGACTTCTTTTTTACCCTCGTAGCAGCATTCATGGGAGCAGATGTGAAAAAAAAAGAAAAGCACCAGTTTAGTAAAGTGAAAATAACTAGTGGCAGAGGGTGTATGAGACTTCCAGAAACACAAGGTAGGAAACTTCATTACTCTTGGTGCTGCTAGAAAATCTTTATCCTTTTTTTACCTTTGAAAAGCTAATGTAGGAAGAAACAGTTAGCAACATGACAGTGCATCGTCATGTTTTTCTTGATACGTTAACCAGCCAGAATGTACCTGCAATAGGAGAATATTAATTTAGCATTAATATCTCCTCTTTCACATGAGTAGCAGAATGTCACAAACTGCAGAGAAGATGTGAGATGAAAGAAACAGATGACTTCTTTTTAACGCTAGTTTTTATTATGATGGATTTCATAGAGTCAGAGAATCATTTAGGTTGGAAAATGCTTTCAAAACCAAGTCCAATTGCAGCACTGGTGCTGATTTCAACCAGCCTAGCCAAGTGAAAATAACTAGTCTGCTTCCACACAAAGGCTATGCTTGTGAAATTTCAGTGTACTTTTGCAGATATTGTCTGTGAGCCATATGATCCCAGAAGTAATGTAACTTTTAGAGGCCAAATTTCAGCATTTAAATATATGTAAAGTATTTCCTATTGTTACTCAAAGATATTTGTATTAATTTCCAGTCATTTCAAGATAAAGCTCTGCTTTTGCATTCTCTTTAACGCCATTGGCCTTTTGCAACATTTTTGTGGTCTTGCCTCTTTTACTGTTCCAGTCTTTTTTGTGTTTCTGTATCCCACTTACACAACTTCTGCTTTTGAACTAGACTCACAGCGTACATTTTCCAGTGTCTCTTCTGTTCCTCACATTTTTTTAACCTGTGAGAGTATTTGACAGTGTCCATGTTTATACCTCCTGTTTTTCCCCATAAATAGAATGACAGCCAGTACTGGTAACCTAGTGGGTGGCAATCCTAGCAGGGGGTTCTAAGTAAGTGATTATTAAGATCTCTTGCAACCCAAGCCATCCTATGAGGCTTTAATTAATGTTGCTGAGCTAATGTTGTAACTGGAGTTGGGATAGTTTTAACTTGTCCATCCAATTGACTTCAATCCTACTGAGAGTAATGGGAGTGAGTGGACATTTGACAGAAAAACAAAACAAAACAAAAACATACAAACAACAAAAAAATAATGTTGCCCATGGCATTCTAAAATGAGCATACCAGTGTTTCTCATTAGGGTTTAAACAAACTAACTAGCTAACAAATGGAGGCTAAAATCTAGAATGTAGTAGAAAAAGTGCAGGTGCAAACTTTGTGCATTATAATAATGAAATGACTTTCAATTCAAACCAAGATGGAAATAAGAAAGCATTTAGCTATTTGTCTTTAGAGGATCATATAAATTGCTTGAGGGTTGAGGCTAGTGGTAGCATTTATGTAGGCTTTAAGAATGCAGTGAGACAGTTCAGAACAGAAAAAAAAACAAAGTTTTTTTTTATATATACTAAAAGACCACATAAATTTAAGTTGGAGGAAGCCCTACTACAGCTTATTAGGATTTAAGTGTTTATCTCAGCATCTGATTTATGTCATCCATTATCAGTGATGATGTGTAATGGGAATGGGTCATCAGCTGAGCCAAACTTGTAGCCCAATAGGCTACTTTGCAGCCACTGCCTATTGCTAATCAGCTCAAATGCCAGTAGCTCTCACAAAATGAATCAGACATTTTTGAGTCACTGGAAAAAAACCTGCTATGGTTATTGCTACTGAAGTAGCAGTGGATGCCTGTTCTTTCACAGGAGGCTTCTATTATGCCATATAAAATGCCAAATTATGACCAAAAGAGAGGTAGACAAAGCAAAAGCAGGTAATATTAGGAATATTGTCATTTTAATATCCCTCAAATAAGGATATGATTTGTCTCCCATACATGTTAGTTTCATTTATGAGTTGCTCTTTTTCTTTCTCATACAGTAAAGAAGAGATTGATTGGAACAACTGAAACAGTGAAGAAATGAGAAGAGAGGTAGGAGAAGTCTTAGTATGGCCAACAAAATCTCAGTGTGTCTGAATTAGGTAAACAATAGGGTTCACATGAGTCTTTCCATTTTTCATAGCATGGAAGAGTGGCAGAGGCCTCCGAGGCCAGGAAGAAGGAGGCTCATGAAGCTGTAATTTGCAGCCTGTGTGGTAAGTCTGCACTGGTCCTGACTTCACAGAAGGAGCTGAGAACTTTCCAGGGTTCAACTAAATGCAGTATTTCAGCCTTCTCCTGCTGTTTCCCCTGCAACATGAATTTGATCTTTTTCCGATTACTCCTCCGTTACATTTTAATATTGTGTTTATTGTACCAGGAACCTGTTTGGCCACAGATGTGAAATCAGTAATAAAACAATTAGAAGAGGCATGCTTTCATTTCCTTCACAGTATTAAAGTGAATAGTAGTCTCGTATTTGAGGGTAAAGGCCATGATTTGATATTAAAATGAGGAGAGGCAAAGTAGTTAAATTAAGCACTAGCAGTCACCAGGGAGCCTGACCTCCGCAGTGTTAGATGGAGATCTGTGAGCTAGCTGGCATTACACTCGGTGGGCTCATGTCGCAGAAGAACGTCACAACAAAGCTGTAATCAACCCTACTAAGGCTGAGAAATGTGTATTTTAAAGCACAAGTGTAGTTCAGCATAGTAGAATAATTATTGTGTTTCAAGTGAAAATAAAATCACAGCTGCAGAACTAAGCCTTCAAATCTTTTTGATTGTACAAATTATTATTATTTTTTTTTTGAATGAAAATTGGAAAAATCCTTAGTTAAGACTGATCTAAAAATATTTGGTTTTCCTTCCACATTTAAATAAAGGAATTTATCCTTAAATCCTTTTCTAATGCTCTTTTTTGGCCTGACAGCACTTTTGACTTCCCTCAGGCTTGTTACTTATTTGTAGCAGAGCAAAATCTATCCCTTCCATGTAAAAACATAACATTAGATTGTATTTTTATTGCAGTCAGGAAATACATCTAGTAAGAATGCTTTCATTTTTAAATGTCTGTAATTCTAGAATTATGCTTAAAGAATTTATAATGATCTTCAACTCTAAATGTATAGTATCACACTTATCAGAAGTGTTTATAGCACACTAACTGTTAGCCAACCTTACACAATCATTCACAAACAAGGCTAAATATAGAAAAAAACTTCTGTTGTGAAGCCTGATAAAAGCAGATGTAATAAATTAAGCTTCTATATGAATGCAGTTAACTTTGCCAATTAAAATTGAAACTTAGGGAACCATCACCCTTTGCTCATTCTGCTCATTCTAGCTGCTACAAAATATCTGTTACCAGCAAATCAGGTTGGCCTTGTGTGGAGCCAGATGTTGGACTCCGTAATCCTCGTGGGTTTCTTCCAACCTGGGATGTTCTGTAATTCTATAGTTAGATTTATCCAAATTTTTCAGGTATTACTACGTACTGATTTTGATCTGCTAGTATTTGTAAAACTCTGAAAAAAGGAAGGTGAATAAAACAGAATTTTAAGAGAATACTGCCCTAGTTTCAGATATTTATCATTATCACTCTGAATAATTTAATTTACAAATTTTAAATTGACTTTTTTCAAGACAGCAGTCCTACGAAGGAAACTTGGCTTTTGAACAATGATGAATAAAGAGCTCCACACATTTCCCCATCTGCTTTTGCAATTGTTGAAATAAAAATAACAAAAGAGGAAGAAAATGCTATTTTGTGTAACACTGGCCCTTATAACAAAGGTTTTTGGAGTTACTAAGTTTGATTTCCTTAAACAAAAATCTTCCTCATTGCTGATCACATTCTGCTAGGTCTCTGCTTTTGAGATTGGTCCTAAATAATTGAGAAGATACTTAACATATGCTTAAATAAGGCCTGTGCCTTTATATTATCAGTGTTATAGAATTGGCTGGGCCACGTCCCCCAAAGTCAACTGCTGTCAGCTGGTGTCCTGTGGTGTCAGCCCTAGCATCTTGCTGGCTGAAGAAGAAATGGAGAGACGTGCAGAAAATGTTCTCTGTTTTTGTCCTGCCCCTGTTTGGATTAATAGCTATAAAGATATTAATGTAGGGTTCGTGATTCACAGGGATACATTTAACAAATAGCTACACAACTTCTGAAATAGAAGAGAAATCACATGCTGGCTGTGTAAACTAAATAACCAGCTAAACAAACTGAACATGGTACATCAGTGGCCTCAAAAGTGGCTTTGAGCTGTCATCTTGTCCTTCTGACGCTTTCAGTAATTGCTAGTTGGGTTGAGGTTAGATGATAAGTTTCTTCTCAGAAGTGAGCAACTCTTGGAGTGTACTCCAAAACAAAAATAAAGTTATGTCTTCTGGGCTGAAAGGAACCATCTGTGGTACAGCTAGTAATCTTTGTGATGTTTAGTGAAATTTGTTTTGGCTGGAAACTGCTGAAAGAAGCTGATGCCCCTGGTTCAGAAGGATTCATAAGAAGACGATTCATGATGCCCCTGGTTCATAAGGATTCATAACTCCAAAACTTATTATGATTAAAAGAGATGGCAAAGATGACCAGAAACAGTGTTCATTGGCTGTGATAGAGCTGTTGCTCTGGAGTGTCATTTTTCCTTTTAAAGAAGATAGCTATAAGAAAAATAATAGCAAAGCTATGTAGTTCTCATTGCTTGTGATCTCAGCTGGGTCAGGCCTTGGATAAGTGATGTTGTATTGCTCTTACAGTCATTTATTGGTCTTACAGTCATGCATAGGTACCTTATAAACCCTGTCCTGTGTGGAATGCTGCACGTTAGCATTCAGCAAAACAAATAGGAGTCTTACCATGTTTCCCACGCCTAAGCAGATGAATAACACTCTGAAGTTGGTATGGTCAATCCTGCACCTTTGCAGTCTTCTGAGTGCTGATCTAACTGCTCAAAGCTGCTTTCAAGCACCATCTGTTGTCACATGGTTCTGCATGCCAGATGCTCATAAAAATGTCTTTCTTGGTTGTTTTAGAAACTAAAGAGCGAAAAAGGTATTAGAAGATTTCAAACCAAAAGAACTAAGCATGTAACAAGCACAATGAAATAAAGAAGCATCCTATGCATATTTCTGCTTTTCATAGCCATAGATTGAACACTCCTTTGCATTAAAGTAAGAATTTTTCTCTTTCCATGGAACAATAAAGAAATCTTCAATGACTGATTGATTGGCTTTTAAAATTTGTAATGTGTTGTGTTTTCCAGCAGTGCTTTCCAATGGTTTCTGCACTTGCAGTCATGTAATGACTTGAAAGTTTTGGCTTTTGTTGAAATGATATGTTTTAAAGTTTGATTATGTGAAAGGCTGGAAGGTATAATTCCGCTTTACCTAAAAAAAAAAAGGCACACACAAAAAAAATCTCAAGAATTTGGGCCCCTGAATGTCTGAGAAATTCAGTCGGCCATACAGCATATAATCTATGAAAGATGAATGTATACGTGATAATCAGCCTCCCTGGGCTTTTTGATACATTGGAGAAAAACGTAGAAATTGGGTTGCTGGGAAAGGCATCAGGATATGGATAATGTCAGAAGACAACTTATGTTCTAGTTGCCTACTAAACATTCAGCAGAGCTGATTTTACAATGTTTGTCACTCATAGAGTCTGCTGAAATTGTTCACTTGAATATTAAAGGTTTGGTCTGTGGCCTACAATGTGGGAGAAATAAAGCAGAACTACAGTCACTCAGCCAGAGTCGAATGTTAAGGTGGCAAGTTAGAGAATCTTGAGAGAAGTTTCTTTGAAATACTTATTCAAAACACGAGGAAAAAAGAACAACACAGTAGTCATGACATAGCTCATAGGAAGTAAATTGCAGTTCAGGCATGTGTTGTAAATTCTTCTTGTAGTAATTCTTCAACTTACATGAGTGGTTCTCACATTTATTTATAGCATGTGCACTCTTTCATCATATTCATGAATTTCTTTTCTAAAATAATGAAGACAATAGATTGATCACAGCCTTCTTATATATCCTCTATAACTTCAAGTTGAGAGACAAAGCTTAAGTACTCTTTAGCACATCACTTAAATAGATAATCTGCATATTTATTTCACAAGAACAATGATGAAAGAAAAAAACTGTCAGCCTGATTGTCATCTGCAAAGATGTACTTCAGATATCTCAGCGTGGAAGATGATGGAAATAGACATATTTACATTAGCACCACCTTCAGTCCAAGCGTGAATAATAGGATGCTTTACTGTTGCATACACAATTCTCTGGAGCTAAGTGTATTACTTCAGAATGATACCATTCCTCACAACTGAAAGGAAAAAAAAAAAAAGAAGAAACAAACAGCTTGTGCTGACAAACACTGTCAGTTCTGTGTTCTTTCTTCTTCTCCCTTGAGCACTTTGGTACCATTTAAAAGCCACATTCTTGCATGTTCATGTTTTGTGCAGGAACCATCTGCCAGGGACTCTTAAGAGCTGATTGCCTACAAACACACCTTTCTGCAGACAAACTTCTCTCTCAGCTGTGAAAAAGTCATCTCCACCTACTGACGTTTCTGTCTGTCTGCTCTTCAAAGACCTTTGAAGGAATTACTCAAAAGTGGCATCTTGCTCTATTTCCCAGTGGAAATGTGAATCCTAGAAACACTGAGAAGGTATTTCTAAGCTTAGAACTATAGATCAAATCATCCTGTATTCAGTTTTTGTTTGGGTTGGGGAAGGAGAGAGAGAAATGTATATTTTGCTTTTTAGGATTTCTCAGTCATTCTGTAGATTCACAGTTCCTTAAAACAAGACTTACATCAGAAGGCCTGCCATCAGGAAGTCTACAATCAGAATGTCTACTAAAAATTTTACCTTTAATTACACTTAGAGTGAGTTGTTAATTTGACTCTGGCCTTTCTCAGTTCTAAACTGTTGTGTCTGTTCACTTCTTATCATCGTGTTTTCTATGTTGCAGATACTCAAATATTTTGATATGTCATGTAGAGCGTATATTGTTTTCCAAACCATTTTTCGAGAAATGTCACAGAATTTGTAATGTTACTTCACAACACAACATTAAAGTACTTCATTCTGATTCAATACCTAATGTGTGCTCAACCTCATTCAAGTGGTGCACTTGACTTGGGTAGAATCAGGGTTTGTGAATGATTCTCAAATTCTGAGCAAAACTTGATTTGCAGCCTCACAAAAATTGCTTCTGGTTGCTGTAAAGCAAGTCAATTTTTGAACAGTTTCATAGAGGCAAAGCTGATGTTCAGAATAATTTCAGCATGGGTCAAGTCGAGAAACAAGGGGTTAAGTGCAAGTGGAAGATAGAGCTAGATGATAGGCAGATTTTGCAAAAAGGTAAATTAATAGAGCTATTTTAAAAAAGAAATGTTACTCATCCATATGTAGGATTCATCTGTGTTAAGTCCACTATTACCACTGATCAACAAAATAGGATTTTTGCATATCTTAATGCTTTTCATGAATGTGTACAAAATTCTGTATCTGGCTTCTGATCAAACCAGAAAACTCACCTATGGATCTCTGAAGATTTCTTCTTACGTGAATAAAGCATATAGACCTTAACAAATGCTTTTTGAGCTGCAGTGATTTTGGAAAAATTAGACGTAATTAATGTCCACATAATTCTTTTAGCCTATATATTTTGCAGTTTTTTACCCCATTCCTCTGTTGTTGAATATTACAATCTCCTGTCATCTGAGTGAGAACATTAACAATTCGAATTTTGTTATTTATATTCTGCTATTATTAAATCACAGCATTGAATAAGTTACTGTAGGGACACTGATCCACAGAAGACAGTGCTTCAGAAGAAGATACAACTGCAGAAGGTTCTGCTCCTCTGCAGTGCAGACTGTGGTAAAAATGGACAGCAGTCTATTCTCCACATAAATGTAATTCAGCAGCTTCAGAAAGTTTCAGAAAGCACAGCATTATATCACTAACTGAAGAAGAATTGAAGTTGGGGGGAATTTGGGGAAGAAAAATAATGAAGACTTAAACTCTGAGTACATTTATCTTTTACATGTCAGAAACAGAGTGGGCAAAAATCATTTCTGCATAAGCTTGTACAAATCTTTTCCTGTTCTCTCTTCCTTTCACCCCCCTGCCCCCCCCCCCCAAAAAAAAAAAACAAAAAAAAACCCATACATTTAATTAGTTAAATATTTATTCTGTAATCCTGCTTTGCCACGTCTCTGTTTCTTGAGCATCTTCAAACTACAAACATGAAAATATTTTGAAGTACATGACAAAGAATAACTCTCCAAAGTTTGTATTTAATCATTATTTAAAATCTCATTTGATTTTCGATTTTGTTTCCATGGTTTTTTGTTTTTTTTTTTTTTCCATTTTTTGCACAGAAGATTGTTGGTGGTTGCCATGGAAATTCTAATTGATTCCTTTCTACAGTTTTTCCAGCCTTTGAGAGGGAAACCCTTCTTTGTACCATTTTAATTACAGTTGAGTAAATGATGATACTGCTTTTCAGCACTGTAATGTGGCATCATCTTCAACTCAGTCTTTTTCTTTAAAAGACCAAATTTTTGTTAGGACTAATTCTTACATGTTCCTCCTGACTAACATCTGTGAGGTATGGCCTGTCTTAGCTGTTCACACAGGTAAAGATTGTTTGTTGGTATCTGAGATATCATCATTTTCATCTGTATGTCAACAGTTTCTTCTCCCTGAGCAAAGCAAATATTACTTCTGTTAATCTCTCTTCAGTGTGCTGATGCAAATAAACTTTTACTAACTTGTAGTGTTAATCACCTACCTGTGATGTGCAGCCCTCTGGAAACTCCTGTCTCTCTCAAGACAGCTCTGCAAACTCAAAACTAAACCAGTGCAAGTGTGCAGTGTCACTTCAGATATTTCCCGCCCTGTTCTTGCACCACCACTTGAGGGCCCTTTCCTTCCTTGGTCCCTAAGAAATTGGCATCTGACTCTCCACTGACCAGTTGTCCATGTCTTGACTAAGTTACACATGCTTTGATTGCCTCTAAACTATCAATTCAAATCTATGTTTACTTTTCTTCATCTTCCCATCATCACACTGTGCAGTTCCATTTCACAGAACTGTATGCTCAACTTGCATGTTCTCAATGCTTGAGTCAAATCAGTGTTACTGTTCTAGTGCTACAGCAGCAAAATGGTAGTTTGTAAGCAGACTGTGCAAGGAATTGCATGCATGTTAACTGATGAAGAAAAATTAGGAGTGCATTGTCACTTTCCACGTTGAAAGCAGAAAGCATGAAAAATCTATTATTGTTGCGTACTGAGATTTTGTTGAACTGTCACTCCTTTAGTCTCCTTTTTGTGCTGCTGAAATACATCATGGCCATCAATTTTATGGACTGTTTTATAACAGGGTCTGTTGAAACTTTACCATCATTAGTCACATTATCAATATGTGAAGATAAATCTTTTTAGATTCACAAAAGTTACCAAAGAGCTTTTCCAAATAGAACTTGAACATCTTAAAAATAAATGCTCTGTAATTATCTTGTCTGTTAACTCATCTGCTGTTTTATTTGTAATGTTTTCTCTTGAACTTTTAACAATATGGGGAGGTTGCTGTTTGTTTAAAAACATATTTCTTCAGTGAAATTCTGAGTGGTTTTGAAGGCTTTTTTCCTCTTCTGAATATTCACTTGGAGTACGTTCATTTTGAATAGCCAGAGAGCACTGGCTATTTTAAACTTGAAAGCAGTTCTTAGTTGTGTTATTGCATAACAGTTCACGAATTAAGGAAAAAAGTATTTTTCAGCTTCTCTAAAAAAACAAAATGACAATTGTGTTACTTTTCTGTATTGAAATTGTATGCATAATTTTTTTTTGCCAAGGTATAGCACTGACTCAGAAATTTACCCTTCTGGAAGTGACTTTCTGAAGAGGGAAGTTATGAAGTTGCACTGGATCCTACAAAATTTGGTGCACTGGTCCAGCAGCATAGTCTTAGAGGCAGTGCATCATCCAAGAAATGTTATTTGACTTCACTCTAGGTTTTAGTGCATTTTCCAATAGATCTTATAATCAGCAATCTGTAATCAAGAATCATTTCATCGAGACTTCTTTCCAGGGTGTAAGTGTCTCATTTGTTTGTTTCTAGCTTTTCTTCATGGAGTAAGTCTCATTCTTTGTACTTAATGAGGTGATAGAAGAAGATTCTATTTCTTAATCACACTGAAGGACAAAAATATGAATGAATGTATAGACCGTTTATTCTGCTTGTTCACAGTCTAATAAGAGAAGTGACAGGGTGTAGCAGGCAAATATGGTGAAATCACAGAACCACAGATCTGCTGAGCTTGCTTGTTACTTCTGGAGAGTACCTATCATCACGCCAATCCTTACAGAGTGAGCTACAAAAGCTTCCATGAAGCTGTGTCAAGTTTGAACATATCAAACATATCAGTCAAGTTTGAACATATCCCACTGAGAGGAGTCCAGATCTCTCATTTTTATTCACTCCATCTTTTACTTATAATGCATAGTCTGAAATCTCCCTGAGTCGTGATGGACAGTCCCAGGGTTTTGATATGGAGCAAAGTTTTGTGCTAGTTTGAAAAATAGATTTAGAGATGCACTAACTCTTCCAGTACATGTTTTGATATTTAAGCTTCATGAAAGCAAACTGGAATGATAGCAAATGAGAGATAAAGAAATGAGACTTTTAAAAGTATTTTATATGCATTGGAATATTTATGCAGGCTTGCAGCTGAAGCCAGATCCTTTACTAAATAATAAAATTGTGTCTGAAAAAGTTATCTGCATCTCTAGAATGCTCTTGTTTCAGGAAAAAATCCCTTCAAAATTCAAAGTTGATTTTTGAAAAGAAGTTAGATAATCTGGAATCTTGTCTTAGAATTTTACATGCAACACATAAAAACATTTGTTTGATTATCTCTCTGTGAGGATGTATTGCAATGAGGCAAGAACCAACAAGCAGAGAGAGAACCAGCATGGCTTCACCAGTGGTAAATCCTGGTTGGCCTTTTATGATCAACAGACAAGGGAAGAGCTCCTGACATTATCTATCTGAATTTCAGCAAGGCCTTTTATATGGTATCCCACAACATCTTTTTCTCTAAATTGGAAAGATATGGATTTGGGGGGTGGAATGTTCAGTGGCTGGAGAACTGGCTGCAGGGTCAAGTCCAGGGAGTGGTGGTCAGAGACTCAATGTCTGGATGAAGATTAGTGATGAATGTCAGTGCTGGGACCAATACTCTTCAATGTCTTCAACAGTGATGTTGACAGTGGGGTTGAGTGCACCCTCAGCAAGTTTGCTGATGACACCAAGCTGTGGGATGCGGTCAACACACCAGAGGGGTGGGATGCCATCAAGAGGATCTAGACCAGATTGAGCAGTGGACTCAGGTGAACATCATGAAGTTCAGCGAAATTAAGTGCAAAGTCTTGCACCTTGGTCAAGGCAACATCCACTACCAATACAAGCTGGGGAATTAAAGTATTGAGTTCAACCCTACCAAAAAAGACCTAGGGGAACTGGTGGATCAGAAGATGGATGAATCAGCAATGTGTCGTTGCAGCCCAGAAAGCCACGTGTATCTTGGGCTGCATCAAAATAAGTATACCTAGCTGGTTGAGGGAGTGATCCTGGCCCTCTGTTCTGCACTGGTGAGGCCTCACTTGGAAGTATTGCGTCCAGATACAGAGTCCTCAGTACAGGAGAGACACAGACCTGTTGGAGCACGTCCAGAGGAGGCCACAGTAATGATCCAAGGAATGGAGCATCTCTCCTATGAGGACAGGCTGAAAGAGCTGAAGCTGTTCAATCTGGAGAAGAGTTGACCATAGGAGCTATTCAATATCTAAAGGGGAGCTATAGGAAAGAATGGTACAGACTCTTTATCAGAGTCTGTTCTAATAGAACAAAGCAAAATGGTTTCAAATTTAAAAAGAGTAGGTTTAGAT